TTATACAAAAACTACGAATTCCAACAACGAATTTCGACCTGTTATCCCAGCTAGTCTTAGATTAAATATCCTGCAGGAGCTCCATGACAGCCCTTTAGCTTCTCATGCTGGTATTCGAAAAAAACTATCCAACGCGTACGCGAGGCAGTCTATTTCCTGAACTGCAAAAGTTAAAAAACAAGGGCGTATGTCCAGTCCTGCCCAACATGTCAAGCAGTTAATTATATTAATTTCCGCCCGGCCGGGTTTCTAATAGTAAATAGTATTAAATCCGAATTTCCAAATGAAATAATTGGCATCGATTTATTGGGCCCTTTCCCAAAAAGTCAGTTAAATAAAAGTCGCTATCTCCCTTGTTATGGTTGATCGTTTTAGTAAATGGACCGAAATTGTTCCCTTAAACGAGCCTCCGCGAAATTAGTTACTGATTCTATTTTAAATAAATATATTTTTAAAATACGGGGCGCCCCTAAAAGTTATATCGGATAATGGTCCTCAATTTGTAAGAATATATTTGAAGACATGTGCCAAAAAACTGGGCATACGTCACTTAAAAACGGTCCCGTATCGGCCGCAATTAAATATAGCGGAACGGGTCAATAGAAATATAGTGAAAATTATCCGTAGTTATGTTAAAAATTTTCATAAAAGCTGGGATAACTATGTCAATGAATTTGCTTTCGCCCTTAGGACCGCAAAACGTGATACAACGGGCAAAACTCCTGCTGAGTTATTTTTAGGCAGAAAGATTATAAAGCTGTTAGATAAATTATTTTATGTGCAAAAAAGAGCCCCAGAATTTAAAATGGGTGATAAAGAAAAACTAATTAAGGAATCAAAGAAGAATACTGAAGTAGCACAGAGAAAACAGACACTCTATTATGACTTGAAACGACGGGGAGTAACTTATAAAGTAGGGGATGAAGTTTTAAAAATTAAGCATTCACTTTCTTCAGCACCAGAAGATAAAACTGCCAAATTTTTTTCCACGATTTGAAGGACCATATGTCATAGAAAAAATACTCACGCTGTAGTTGTGTGTGTTAAAAGCCAGAAATGGTGAAATGGTGAAACCTGCTCCGCAAACATTGATCAAATCAAACCCTACTATGATCGTAATAAAATGCAAATTTTCAAAGATCTTTTGCAGGATCCGGCACGGCAGACACCGCAGGCACAAGCTCCAGAGGTGGAAAAACGACAAGTACAAGGGCAAGCCATTAAGAGGCAGGAGCAAGTGAAAAGAAAGCTTCCCCGCGGAAAAATTGAAGGTGGCATGAAAAAGAAGCCGTTCCACCGTCCAGAAAAGAGAGCTAACGAACACCCCCAGAATGAAGAAGGGAGAAGGACGACGTATGCAAAGAGAGCCAGGAGAAATGACGGCAACTATAACCCGGCTCTAAAACGGAAGATCTACTCATCCGACAGGACTCTCCGCAGCAAATGTCGCCGAACTGCGGAAGGGCCATCAGCGGCGGAGGAAAAGTTACAAGGAAAATTTGAACGGCCAGCAACGAGGTCCAAGCAGGAACACGAAAGAAGTTTCCCGGTTCCTCCAAGACGAGCTGCCATCAAACGACCAAGACCACAGGCAGAAGCGAAAAGGAAGGTATTCAAGGGTGACCCGAACTGGAGAAAAAAGAAAGCATCTAGAGGAAGGCACTGAAGGCAAGCCCGTACAAGAAGGAGGATAAATCAAACAACTATCTGCACTACCTTTAAGGACTGGGCCCAGAAGAAATGTCCGAATATCACAAAGATAAGTAAAATTTTATGTTACTTTTGCAAACTTAAGTTAATCTTTCATTCTTACTGCAAGTGGCAGATTTCAAGAAGTTTTACCTCATGCGAGTTCTACCTTTATCGCCAAAAGGGCGAGAAAGAATGAGTTGTTACCCGATTTTGGTATTATGTTTTTCAATTACTCGCGCGCGTAAAAACTAAAGTTGATGTATAATAGCGTTGTGTAAAGACTTAAATATTGTAAAAGTTATTGTATAAATATTATTTAAAAGATTCTGGCAAGAAAGAAGTTTTAGTCTGGAAGACTTTTTGAAATGTATTATTTCAATGTAGAAGAATTGGCACTTGCTTTGAAAAAAGAATAGAAGTTAACAATGTACTACTAATGTATGTTTCAAATGTATAAAATTAACGGCATGTTAAGATGTTCTTATATACAATGTGAACTGTTATTTTAAATGTTAAGAAATACCGTGATATGGTAAAAGTGAAAGTAATGTTAAAATTTTTTTTTATTCGTGTGACTGTAAAAAAGACTAAATCGTGGTGAATATGTGTTAAAGGTGAATGAATGATGTAGTTAGGCTCTCTGACGCTACACTTCAGAGTTAGCCACTTTCAGAATAGTACCTCAGGGTTTAGAGTTGAAATTAGGGTGTGTGTACGAGGTCTTGGTATGTTGAATTTTAACACGTTAGTGTTTTGATTGTAGGAGGAAGTGTGGCAACACATAGACATAAACACATTCGTGTTTGGTGTTCTTTTACAACACATGTCAGAGAGCACGGGGAGAGATAATTAAAATAGTCATGAATGAAATAAGAATGTTAAGAGAAATATAATTATACATGTTACTTGCCATTTCATTGTGTAACATTTCATTAAACTAGTTTTCCTTCTAGATCTCTGGAAGGAACCAGATTTGAATAAAGCTCCTGTTTAGATGCAGTACAGATGAAAAAATTGTGTCCTGGGAGCTGCTATTGTAAAAACAAATTTCTTTCTTTTAAATTTCTAGTTTCTAGCGAAAAAATGTTTGTAAAAGATTGGCCTCGCGTTAGATTCTAGAGCTAAAAGTTTTCAACAAGGTCGTTTTAGACCCTCAGTTTCAAACTAATTGACTCTGGCGGGAAGTATGTAAGGATCTTAAGTTTTACTAACGTTTATTTTATTTTAAATCTTTACTATCACTTCTTATTTTCTACTTCCGGCCAGAATTATAAGCGTTAAAGTATTTATGCAAAGTTTGTCTGGCGAACGCCAAGTACTTAAGTTGTGGTTTTTTGCCAAGCGAGAGAGAGGAAGCAGTGAGTCGAAGCAGGCCGCTTACCTTAGAAGTTTTACGCAGTTGCTGGTTGCCTTCCCGGCTAGAGGTTTTAATCCTCTTGATAAATTTTAAACGTATTGTAGTGTTCACAGTTATCTGTACTACATACGTCTTCCTGTTAATATAAGGCCAATCTTCCACGTTTATTATTTTAAAGTTAAATTAGAGTTTAGTTCTATTTTTATATTTTTACGTTTAGACCCCAGTAGCGGGTCTGTGTATTCCGAAGTACGGAAGTTATTGTAAATAGAGAAAAATAAAGGATTTTGTATACCCTTCTTGTGTATCCTGTTTACTTCCCACAGTTTTGAACATAACTTTAGTAAGCTTTCTGTTCCGAGTCAGGTCCTTGCATGTTCCCGAAGAAGGTTAGACGGAACATTGAACCTGATACTTTAATTAATTACTGATGATAAAAATCTGAACTACTTTTTAACATGTCTTAGTGCTAATAAATTATTGCTTATGGTTTATTTCACATTGCTATTTTCCCTAACATCGTTTATAAAGTATACAGCTGTTTCCCAGAATTTAAATTTTGAATTTGCTATAACTAATGGAGACTAAATACGCCTAGCTCAATGATCTTTCAAAGGAGAATTAATTTAACCACTAGTGGAATAAATAACGCATTGAAAAAAGAATTAGAAAATAAAGAAGCCAGGAAAGGAGCTGGTTTTGAGTATCTTTAAAGTGAATAAAACTTTCCATTAAAAAGAATACTAGTTACGTTTGTACAATTGTAATAATTAATGTTGCATAAAACAACAACGACGAAATGATTGTCAAACTCTTTTGAAGTTGCCAGGTATGCCACTTATTTCTCCTTACAGAGATGCTACTTTCGCCGACAAAGCTTTTAGGATTCAATCTGCGTGTCACCAATAGTACGAGATCCGTTGGTATTATGATTCATGTCTTGCAGTCAGTGGTGATTTATTTAAACAGTAATTGTAAACAAATATTATTTCTTGTAAATATCCTTGATTAAAGCGAATTTTGTTCTCCATGTTCTTCGTACATGCTGCGTTTCGGCTTTCACATTCCATAGTCTACCGTATATTATATCACAAAATGTTTTACCTTTGCCTTGTTCTGTCGCCCTTACCCTGTTGTGACCATCAGTTCTCTTACACGCTGTATGTATGCCTAAATTTTCAGTCACCGACAGATTCAGCCATTCATTATGTTTTTAAAAATCGAATGCCAAAGGCAAACTGACTTTCTTTTCAATAAAAACACTTTGTAAAGAGTGTGCATTTTACTAAATGTAACTTCTGACTAATCCTAAATAAGACTGTAAGTGATTTATCGCGATGTCTTGAGAAATATTAGAGACTTGGGAAGGGTGGGAAAGACCCTTGTATTTAAAACTCAATTAGCTGAATGGAAGGCCCACCTGGTGCTTAAAAATCCGCCAACATTTATGGCAAAAACCGTACTAGAATTTTAAATTAAATCTAAGTCTCAAATAGCCAAATGTTACGCAGGGTAAGTTAACTGCGAAAGTTGGATAATAAACTTACACCGGTGTATAAAACGCTATCGACAAGCTAGCAAACTAGTAACGTGGCCTTCAGCAGATAGAAAACGCTCTGTCTAAGTTATCTCAAACCCTCACTTACATACGCGAACTAATTTGCATTCTGGCTGAAAACGGTAAGGGAGAATTGGTAGTACAGATTTACCAACATAAAATAACTGGTTAAGCAAATTAAAATAAACTTTATATTTTCTAAGAAAAAGCGTCCCTTTGCATTTAGCGTGGAAATCTTAACTGATCACTTCAGCCTAAGGTTCTGGTGGTCAGTACTTCCCTCTGATGAAGTCTCAGTCAAAGCCAAAACTTAGTCCCAAAGCGAGCTAAAGGTTAGTTTGCTGACCTTTTCTGAATATTCTAAAATATGATATAAGTTATAATTTGTTTCAGTCCAGAGCTAACATGGAGGGATGTTCAACATCTTGTTGTATGGACCTCAGAGTACCTTCAGTTGAGTCACAATAAAGGTTGGAGACGAAATTCAGCTGGACTTATGTATAATAGCAGATTTGGGTTTGGATTGATCAATTCTGAATCCATGGTAAAGGCAGCCCTAAATTGGACCCTAGTGCCCGAAAAAACTACCTGTATCGTTTCTTCATCTTCCATGTAAGTTTTCTTCAAACTGCTCAAATTTAAATTCCATTAGAAAATAACTGCTTGTAAAATATTTGGAAGCATAACATAAAATTTTACAAAGAAATTCTATTCGTTTTTATAACTTTATTTTTTAAATTTATTTTCTTCAGTAAAAAGATGTCAAAAACCAATATTTTGCTTACTACTTCATTTTCTGCAAATACAATGATCGATTAATCAATTCAAATTAAGGCGATAAAATTGGATGTTGTTGAAGGAGAATTTATTTTCTCAAGAGTTCTTTTTATTTGAATCTAGAAAGATTAAGTACTAAAATGTTTCATTTAATTTTTTTTCCAATTAGAATCTTATCAGCCTTTAAATGCAGAAGTCTATCAGCATTGATAGAATAATTTTAAAGTTATAAGAAATAATAAAACCTGCATTAATGTAAACTGAATCGTGATTATTGCAGAACTGAATATATTGCTGAAATTTTTAACATTAAAAGAAACGTTTTTAAAGATAGTTTTATAAGAAACCAAAAATATTAAGTCTTCTTTAAATTGTATTCCTAGTGAGACATGTATACTTTTCCAAAGTAAAGAGTGATGTCATTAAAATTTCATCGTCATTATTAGCTGAAAATTAGATCATACTTCGCTTACTTCTGAAACTACAGGAAATTTTAGAAAACATGTAAGTATACGTGTTCGTGCAGGTTTTCATTTTTTTTTTTGGGGAGAAGATGATAAATTCTGTTTGCATTACTCTTGCGCTTTGATGCAGAATTGCATGAATTTTTTTATACATCAATTGAATTTGTCCAGTTGATACGAATAATCTTAGTACAAAACTTCGAAAATGAATTAATGACAGTAACGTTACACTTTTGAAATATTGTAAACGTTTAAATATATTTCCGTCCCAGGAAAGGTTGGCAGAGTACAGAAATGTTTTGCGTCGCCTAGGAGTGCAATTGTATTTTAATTTGGCAGAATGTGATCTTAGGAACTTGAAAAATCAGCGTACAATTTCCTTTCATCTCAAAAACAAAATGATAAATGTAATATATAAAAACACGATGATAAATAACATGATAAAAATGTTGATAAAGACATATTATGCTTAAAACATATGATGATGAAATATAGCATATTGTTGCGTTCTACTGATTCGCAGATTTCATGACAACATTTGATGAAGAATCAAAACACAACTTATTTAGTCAGTATTACTCAGGACAGTTCCAAAAATATGTTTACAGTCGGCGAAAAACTACGTCAAACATGCTGAATCAATCAGCAACTCAACCTTCAGGCTATCAGGCTACAATGCCGAAGACAGCTTCACGACAAAGCACTAAAGTAGAGCTTCCGGATCGGTCGATCGTTTTCAAGATAATCTCTGAAATCAAGCTACTACAACTGAGCTCAACATACTCTCGATACTACTCAAGATACACTTAGATAATGATAAAACTGCTACTCCGCATACAGGCAGGGTTTACATAGCTTTTGACCTGCCTTCGAGAACATTCTCGGGAAAACCAGTAAGTATTCGTTCTAGAATGTTCTCACCCCGACTATGACATATTGCCAACTGTGTCACCAAATGGGTAATTTCGCGCGAAATCTGGCAACCCTGCTTTTCCTTGTCACTTTCTGGCAATCCTAACCCCACTTTGCAGGGAAACTATCTTACCGCAGCTGGACATTTCGCAACAATATGATGATAAATGTAACATAATTATAGAATCATTATTACTTATCTAATTTCAAATACAATGTCATGCTGTGGTAATTTTCTCATTTTTTTACTTGTAATATGATTTCCTGCTCTTGAAAATAATGTTCTACCCATTTCTTCGTTCACATCAAATTCAAATTGAGGTAATTTTTTTCTGCAAGCGAATGGCCAAATGACAACAATATATTACAGTCGAGCGACTGCCGCAAAAAGTATACAGGGTTGCTGGAAATCCTTTGCAATAAAAAATTAAGTTCGCAGTATTTGACGCAAAACTGCTAGTCGTAGATGCCAACATTTCGAAGGATGAATAATACGTAATAAAAAATTCTATTTAATAACATTGTTTATGTTGCTCATACGGTCACTTCTCTCATACGGTAGGAAAGGGCCCACCAGCAGCCGAGCGGTAAAGTCGCTAAACACTGATAGTTCGGTCCGAGGTTCGAATCCCGCGAACGGGCTGGCTGCATGGCCGTTTTCGTGGTTTCCCCATGTGTAACGTGTATACGAGCCAGTTTCCCTTAGAAAGTCCTCCACGAAGGCATCACTCCCCTTACGCAGATAGCCCTAGTATGCTTTGCCATAATTAAAATACACCAATACACCATACGGTAGAAAAAATGCTTTACTCAGATTCTTTACACTATTTTATTAAGAAGATATTTAATGTTTATACCATTTTATTGTGTTTAATGTACATGACGTGTTCTTATAACTCAAAAAATTGCTGTTTACTCAAAAAAAAAAAAAAAAATTACTCAAAAATTTACAAAAAATTACTGTTTGTTTTTATAACTCCTGCAGTGTTATATTTAAAGAAAAATATTTATTTTTTCCTTATTTTAGACTGCCTCAAGCTATTTCGTCCAAAGGAAAGAATGAAGTTGTGATAGATCTTACTACCAACGGTTGCTTAAGAACACCAGGAGAAATAAATTATTTAGAGCATGTGGAAGTAACACTTGATATAGACTACAATCACAGAGGAGCTTTGGATATTTATTTGTTTTCACCATCTGGTACATATTATATTTTTCATTAATTGCGGATATTTTTTGTATCCATGAAACATTCATTTCATAACAAATAACTTCGCAATCGATATCAACTTTCATAACACAGAAACAGAGGTAGCTTTACAATACCCTATAGAGTCTGATATGCTTAGGAAACATGCATTAACGAGCTCTAAAAAGATTGTAGAAGAATTATCTTTAAGTCTTACAATACAAACAAAAGTCAGAAGAAGGGTGTATAAGACCCTTTTATTTGAACACAAAGAAGTAACAATAATCCAACTTGGTTTTACACAAGGCAACACTCCTGGCTTAAATAAAAAATGTTGAACTGAAATCAAATGACATTAAATTAGCCTAACAGCTTACAGGATAGAACAACGTTCTGGAAGGCTCTGGTTCGTAGAAAACCTTCGAGAGACGCTTCATGGCTAGAAGCACTCAGCGCCACAGAATCAAATCGCTATTAAGTCGCGGTAACAAAGTGGCTTGAAGTAGACATAGCATGCTCTAAAATCAAGTTACGAAACAATTTCAATCAGATGTAACATACGAAGATACTCATAATCAGTCTGACGCTCCAATGCATGCCAAAACTTTACTAGTATTATCAGTCATCTCGTCCAGTTTCGAAACTGATGCACATGCACTTCCTTTGTTCATCATTTTCATTTCCATTTCTTTCATTTCTGGAGATAAATTGTCTTCGCAAACGCGATGATCTCTTTTTAGCTTTGAAGTTATAGAAATTAAAATCCCGATCAGTGTCTATTCATTCAATGATGTCACGATCCTGCCAGTTCATTTAGCAGCAATTGTTTACATTTTCAGCATTGCTATGTTTAGTACCCGATACGTTAACGGGTTCTCTGTTCCCTGCACAATTTGACGAACTGTTGGCAATGTTGTTTGTGCAGGCTTTTTCCCATGCCAAACTAGAAATGTAGGCAACATATATCAATATTAGAAATCTGTGAAATCCAATGACTTGAAGGTTTGAATTTAACAGCTCAGTAAGTAAACAGTTTTTTGTGATAATGAGCTTTAAATATTCCAACTGTATCTTAATCAAGAGGCTGAACCAACGCAATTACGTCTTAAGTGGAAACACGGCAAGACTCACCATCGCTTAACTGTTCGGATGATGACCGGGCTAGACAGTTTGTCTAGTAGATATAACGCCTTACTGTCTTTTTTATGTGTCGTAAATGCTTTCTAACTGATGGGGAAAATTCCTTTCCGAATTACATGGTGAATATATTACAAACCACTTATTCGAATTACTTTCATAAGTCACATACTGGAATGTCTTATAAACATACTGAAAATATTATACAGTACGATTTTACCAATACACAAGAGCTTATTGTTTTCAGTTTTGTCTTTGTGTAATTCTATATTTATAAGTTTTCCTGCCTTTTTTTATTTTTCTCTCTGTCTTGTTTCTTCTGCTAAAGTGTTACTTGAGAGGGATCTACGACAAAGCGCCGTCTCTTCACAATTATGGATTTGCTCTTTGCAACTATCTTTTTGTATACAGAATAAATGTCTGGAGGAATCACTTGTAGATTTACATTATTATATGCTGCTTTTACTAAAAAAAATGCTTTGATGTTTTTATGATGTTTTTCAATTCCGAATTTTACATAAACTAAGGGCATAAAGATATCTAAAGACAAACATTTCCATAACAGAACTGGACATATCCTGTCCTCTTTAACTAACTAGTGTGTTACCGCACTAGTGATTAAAAGTTGCTCGAGCAGTTATTGAAAAGGCTTTTTAAGTAGCTGGCATTAAAGCATTCATTACCAATAATAGTAATCATAATCATCATAATAATAATGAATTTACAAAAATATTATATTATTCCTAAATTCGGTAGCTTTAAACCATAAATCAAAACCGGGACGTTTGGCCAAACACTTGGAAACAAATCACTTTGTATATCATTATTAATATGCTGATTGAATTTGGAAGCATAGGTTGAAAAGTTTAAACCCATTGTTGATTTTATTTTACAGAAATAGCATACACTAAAATTGAAGTTTGTAATTTTGAGGTTTTGAATGACGAACGATATCACGAAAAAGGAAGTGAAAAAAGCTTCTCGCAGAGAGAATCGAAAAGACATTCTATAACTGGTCTTGGAATTCGTTAATACTCGGAATCTTTGAAAGCACTTATTTTCAAGCACTATATTACAGCTTCTTTTAAACACTCATTAAATCACTTGGTAGATTATTAGAAACACTCAGACTGAATTTTGAACCATTGGTATGTTGTATATTTCGACACTTATCAAATCGTAGATGATGATATGGCAAATTCATTTTTCGTTTTACATACTGGACATTGAATTTGTTTTTTACATGAATATTTGAACACTAGTGATGTTTTATTATTGACTCGGATGAAAATAATATTGGTAAGCATTGCACAAGTTCGATTATTTTTGTCAATATATAAGATGAAAATGTAAAAATCAAAATTTGTAATAGACCCTTAATTCTCGTTTTTAATTTTTTAATTTTCCGTTTGTATCCAAAAAATAGTAACTGCTTATAATGAACTGCGTCATTTCATATTTATTCAAGTAATATGATTCTTGTATAGAACTAGCCATGCAAGCATTTACATACGCTACATTATCAGTCTTCTCTAGACACAAATCGCTACCTATTTAACTAAGGCGCTTAGTAAACACAAATGCATTGGGAAAGAAAGTGATTTTAATAAACGGCGGGTACTGTATATATATATTTATTTGTATTATAAAGTTTTAACGTTATACTTAAACCAAATACTTATTTGAATTTTCTAGGAACGGTAAGCATGATACTCTCACGACGTGAAAGAGATTCCTCTGCCATTGGGTTCAAGAACTGGACATTTTTATCAGTGCATTTTTGGGGTGAAAATCCTGCTGGACAATGGAAAGTCTTGGTTCGTGATCTGGTAAGTATTTTCGGTTTCAGAAGCTAAATAACTATAAGAGTCTTTTTAAACTGTTTGGCTCCTTTACATGTTAATAAAAGACAGGGTTACATTACGGTATGCTACCCTGCACTTATCAACCACGCTATCAACCTGCTTCCAGGGTGTTGTCATTCGATGCAACATGTGATCTTTAATTTGAATGTTAAATTTTAACTATACAGTTTTATAAACTGAGCAGCTGAAAAGTAAAATCCAAGTTCTTCATAACTTCATTTTTCTAACTGAAAATAGATTTAATATTAAAGCATGCAAGTCATAATTTTTAAGAATAAATGCAGCACTATCGTTCTTAATAAAATTAATTTTTACTAACAAATATAGCGTACGATAGGGAATTATTTGGATTTTTTCAACGTAATAATTTCCAAATAGTACATTGTAATAAAAGACCATCCACAGTAATCAAGATTTCTGTTTGTTTAGTAGCTGATAGAATATAACCATTATAGAAAAGTGTTTTAACCGGGTTTCGAGTCTTCCTATACGAAATGGTTTTGTGGGATTTCTATTTTTAACCAAAAAAGCTGTTAGTCTCCAAACACTATATTGCGTTGTTAGTCTTCTCATTCTAGTCTGTTTCCATTCAGCAAAAAGTGAAAGATCTTTCAGGTTACTCTATCTGTTATTTATTAACAAACTAAACTGTTTAAAAGAAATCGATTCAGTTAATTATTTTTTAATTAACTGAATATTTTAATAATCTATAATTATTAACTGAAATTAAAATTTTTATTTACTTTTATTTTTAAATTATTTATTTTTATTTGCTTTTATTTTTTATTATCTGATTATTATTTTTTTTACTTTTGAATCTGATTGCTTTAAATAAAAATACATTTAAGTCATGATTTATCTAATTTGAAGCATTAAATACTTTTATAGAATAACATTATACACGTTTTCATTTTTCAAATATGTACAACATATTTAAGTTCCCATGCTAGTTCTAAAGGCATATTCCTCCAGTTTCCTATAAAATGTTTCGCTATTCCACTTAAATAATCTCCACGGATAATCTCTACTGATAAATCATACTAAACTTTTATGCACCCTTTTCGGACGGCCCTAAAAATCTGTACCCTTCCAGAATTTTCCCCCCAGCTTTCTGTCCCTTTCTTCCACTTTCAAATGCATAATTTTTGGTTAATTGCTTTTATATTAAACCAACTATCATATATGCGCTTCACAAAGAATTAAATATGAATACAAATTTGTGGCAAGGTGGATTATTAAATGAGCTAACCATAATTTTGTTTTGTACAAAAATAAGCATCTCTTAACTATGCGTTAGTTATAAAGATCAATATGCATTTAAGTGATGTAAGAGAAAACTAAGTCTCTATAAAGGTCATGGTAGGAAGCCCAAGCTTTAAATAGTGAGTTTATTTTTCTAACTGTTAGCCAACTCTTGTCACTAGCGTCTAGACAGGTATCTCACAAAACTAATTATTTAATTCAAAAAATAAACTCATAGAATTTAAAGACACAATTAAAAATTATTAGATTACATTTGGGTCATACCTTCATAATGTAGATTAAAAGGCTATAACTTGCATAACAGAAAATTTAACTATTTACAATACATTTTAAACGTCATACTACTGAGAAATAATTATTTTTGGAAGCTCTTTACTTACAGCAGCCTCAGTTCGACGCGAAGTAGTTCATTTTAACTCCCTTTATCATTTACTCCAAGAGTAAATACTTCAAGGTAATTAATTTAATTAGGCAACTATAATTAACGAAACTAAAAGACAGAAACAGCAGCTTAGTAGTTGTATATTTTTCTTATTGAATTTTTAATGAAGCTGTTAATTTATATACTTATGAAAAGAATAACTTTTGAAAGCAACAAATGGATAGAAAACTGCAACCTAATAGGTGTTCTAGTGTTAAAGGCTAATTGCAATTCATAGCAATAAGATAATAACTTTTAGTGTTTTTTTTCCTATGTCTTCACAAAAAGTAAGTTTTAGGAAGAGTTTTTTCCCTATGTTTCACGTTTTTGTTTTGAAAAATAATAATAATAATAATATGAGATTATAAGGTTTATCTTCTATCTTCTTTGAAAATATCTTTAGTCTTACTGATTGTATAAAAAATATATTTAATTTTATTACTGCATTTCTTAACAACTGCATAATCGCGAAATGGACGCCAGATTTGGGGACTTTTGGCGATTTTTTGCCAAATTTGGTGATTTAATAAGTCGCCAAAACTTTTATCAGCTCTGCGATATCTCGCCAAATTACCGATTTACTCAATGTCCATTTACTCAATGTTTAATGGGCATTGAGTAAATCGGTATTCTTACTCTTCCGGCATAGCTTCTCTCTTTGGGTTTTTTCCCCTTCATTACTTACATTACGCAGAAAAATACAGCAATTCCACAGATATTTCCACCAAAATCATCTATCTATGTACAAAATTCGTATCAATATTATGTTTTATAAAATATTACATTACATAATGCTTGATTCTGAATAAAGGTTTTTCGATATTGGACGAAATGAAACATTAATGCAATGGACTCTATGGATTTTCTGAAACAGCATAATAGCTCTTATGAAATTATCTAGTTTGATTTTTCAGCAGCAAAACTAGATTTTAAATAGATTACTAAATAGCTTCCCTAATTCCCTTTTAAATTATGAAAGAACAAACAGAAAATACAATTAGACAATGATCGCATAGTTAACCGATGACCGAGATGATAAAGTCCCTGAGCAGCTTGATTCGAATTCTTTCATTCCTGCAAATGGGCTGATTGCTTGAATACTTTTATTTTTTTCCATCTGTATCGTGGCTAAGAGCTAGTTTTTCTTAGAGAGTCGTCCAAAAAGCATCTCTTCCCTTAGGCTGATAGTCATCGTATGCTTTATATATTCAGAAAAATAAGCAAACAATAATAATGTGATATATAAAATTTATTAATTATAAATTAATTTTATCTATCACATTATTATTGTTTATCTGTGTCATTGTAAGTTAACTTTGCATATCACATTATAAGAAGAGATCAACATCAACTAAATAAGAATGACTTGAGATAAATATCTACTAAAGATAATATTCTAGTAAAATGCTGTCTAACAAATTTTAAACCGAAATGCTACTGTGGGCTTTTTAGTGGTAATAATATTTGAAATTTAAGTTGTAAATTAGATTATTAATACAACTAAAATGTTTTTTTATTAAAATCAGCTCTAAAATCTATGTGCATTAAAAAGAGTGTGTGTGTGTGATTATGGCAAAGCCTCGAGGGCTATCTGCCTAAGAGGGAGGGATGCCTTCGTGGAGGACTTTCTAAGGAAAACTGGCTCGTATACACGTTACACATGGGGAAAATCACGAAAACGCCCATGCAGCCAGCCCGTTCGCGGGACTCGAACCTCGGACCGAACTACCAGTATTTAGCGACTTTAACGTTCGGCCGCTGGTGGGCCTCCATTAAAAAGAAAATGATCATTAAAGGAATATCAGAATTACTCAAATTTAACTCTGATTGATAGAAAAATGAACATTTCTGGGGGCTCTGATTTGTAAAAAAAAAATATTTAGCTTCAGTAGGTTTTAGTGAACATTCTTTTTTAATGTATTTTTGTTTCTGCTTCAAAAACAAAACTTCTTTGACGGAAAACAGTATTAACGACAGTTCTTTGAGTTTCCTAGATATAGATATATTCGAGATTAACATAATTAAATCAACTCACTAGATTAATGAAAGTAAATTTTATAAAATTATTACATTTCTTTTAATCTGTGATCGTATAAAAGACTAATAACATTAAAAATTGCGTACTTTTTAAATAAAATATGAAAAAATGACAATGAATGAGAATATAAACATAGCTCTTAGAATATAATAAAAATATAGCAGCGTAAAACTGATGTAGTATTATTAGGTGCTAAACACATTTCGACTACGAAATGCTCTGGTCTCATTCTGCAGCAAAAAAGTAAATGTACCGAAATTGAAAATAGAACGGTTAAAAGGATTGCACAGCTTTATTTTCTAGTCTTTAATAATAGTTATATCAAGTAATTAAATTTATATAACCTCTATTATAAATGTTCTTTTAATTAATTTTACATAATTTAGATAGCTCATTTTAACTACTTATATTTTATCGTAATGCTGTTATTTCATTCATAAAATATCATGGATAAACGCATTAGTAGTGTTACGAATTTTGTACTCGGATAGGTAATTTTAGTAGAATTATAAGTAAAATTATTGTATTTCTTTTGCAACATGGAAAATCTAAAGAGAAGCTGTACCAGAAAAATAAGAATACAGGAGCAAGTGCATTTAACATTGAGTAAATGGTATGTCGGTAATTTATATTTAAATTAAATAAATGTAATTGACCGCTATGTTAGCTGTAACCGTAATTACATCCTCTTTGGCAACGGTTTTGAGTACTTAGTTTTCCCCCAAATTTGGCGGCATTTTGGTATGGTCCCTTTGTTTGGTCCCACTGTCTTTCGTTATTATATATATTTAGACTTTTTCTAATTCTCTATGACAATGTAAAAACTTTACTGACTATTTATAATTAATTCTAGGCAATATTTGTAAAAATTTTAATTTTCATCCTGATTTCATTGGTTTATTTTTATTTTTATATATTTCAAAATTTTCTTTTGATGTCTACATTCTTACATTTTTAACTGCATTCATCTGTATATTTTTTCAACTGTACACATCTCAAAATTGTATTACCGTTATAATTGTATCTATGTTTTATATGTTTCTGAGTACACATTCTCTAATGAAAGCTTTATATGTACTGCATATAGAACATTCACGTAAAATCTTATGTGAAAAATTCTCAATAAAGGCCCACTGACTACCAAGCCACCTCCTTGGCTTGGTGTAGCAGATAGTATATCGTATCCATCGATGGAGCATCTATTGCCGAAAGTTTAATGATGATGTGTCTGCTCCACCGAAG